ATTAATTTAAATAAAAAAATTAACATTAATTTTAATAATTTTTATTGGATAATAAATAAATTTAACGTTAGCTTTTTAATTTTATTATGAATATTAATGATAGAAAATCCATTTGTAATTTAGGGGCGTTTTTTATATAGCGATTAAAATAAATACATTTAATTGTTTTTACATATGTGTTTTTTAGTTGTTTAATATTGACTAACAACAGTTAACTATTATATAATTAAACAGTTATATTAATTAAATTCGCTATCTATTATTTGTTATTCATTTTTTACTATTTGTCATTTGTTATCTATTAACTGTCATTTGCTACTCATTATCACTATTTATTTTCCGTTACTTACCACCTGCTATCCATTAAATTTTAATAGTTATATCAAATAGACCCTTAGATTAGGATAGGTGGTTTTGGAGTACTCAATTACTTTCAATAAATTACTACTCCATTTCATTCACATACAATTTTTTATTTCTTAATTTTTTTGAGTGGTATAACTAATCAGTATACTTTTTGTTCCATTTTTCTTAAAGCTTGATAGATGAGTGGACCAAGAAAAAGGCTATACAAAATCGTTTTATGTGAGAATGAGCCAAGCAATAAATCTTCTACACAAAACAATTGCAGAAGTAGAGGTACTTTAGCCAACACCCAAAACCAACCAACTCAAACCATTACAATCAACACCCAAGGCATAAATGAAAAATGTCAAACCAGTACAATTAATTCCCAAGGTCTAAGCCAATAAGATCATGGGAGTGACCCAATAAATTAAGCTATTTGTTTCAATCTTCCACATAATGAGCAGCCATAAGTTATTGATAATGAAAGGCAAAAGTAAGAATTTAAGGTACTCTTTGCTCTTAGCTATAAGCCTAACCTCACTCCTCTATTACAAGCACTTTGACTAGGAAATTAAGAGTACATTGTTTGTTTCAACTTGTTTATTTATTGTTTTTGGACTTTTGATAATGAGATCTATTAGATTAGTTAGTGTTTTTTCACAACCTAAAATGTATCTTGTTTGCATTTTAAGGTTAACCAAGAGTGCCAACCTTTCCAAATCATTCATCTTAAAGTAATGATGCTATTGGTGGCAGTAATGTAGAGCATTTGTACATAATTTTGACGTCGACACCAAACGGGAGTGCTAAGCATCTAGATTCCCGACACGGACGTGGAGTTGACACATAATTTTGGTGTCGACACCAAGCAGTAGGGATATTCAACTGTGTAATTTATGCCTTTCAAATTGGGATGTTTATGGGTTTGAGATACCCTTTGTACTTCTTTTTTCAATAAATATTACTTTTGTTGTTAAAAAAAGGACAATGATTGACTTACCCTCTGCCGTTACACATCTATCCACACATTAACGGAATCCGTCAAGTATATTAACGTCTCCGTTACACACCTAACGCCTAAACTTCTCCATCTTCTTCAAATCTAGAGAGTGCTGGGTTTCT